TCTGTCCCTTTGAATTGTGGCCACGTTCTCAGAGTTTGCCTTTGCTCTGCAAAACTCAATGACGGTGAGTTTCCAGATGGAGCGGCTGGCTCACCCTCCTGGCTGCCCGGCCCTGACTGGGAGCTCCAGCCCTGCGGTTCCACGTCCTGCTGCTCTCTGTCCCTGTCCCGTTAGAGCCTCAGCCCCAGAGAGTTAGAGATGGAATCCCTCGTCTCTGGTCCAGAAGACGTGGGGACAGAACACAGAGAGGCCTGGCCCCCATCTCCTCCTTCCTGCCGTATCCAATGCAGCTTAAAGGAGCTCCCAATGCCAGGGAAGTGGCCCTGGCTCCAGTTTGGCACCTTTACTTCCCTAACTGACTCATGCTAAGAACTTTCCTCCCTGGGGGGCTCCACAGGAGTTTGATGGGAATTGTTTTCTGAGCGGACTATTCCACACAATTCCAGGGTGTCTGGCCCACGCTGCAGGGCTGCTCCAGGGGTCGGCAACGGGCATCAGCGGGGGCTTAGCATGGTCACCATATATTTTGTGTCCTGACTTATGAAAGTGCAAGGTTTCTCCAGTTCTGCTGTCCACTGACCTCTAATAATGTGTGTTCCTAACAGTGCTGTGGGCTCTGAAGAGAGTGGGGGAGTTTATGAGCCATCTGCCTAAATTTTTGCTGGCGAACACTTTCAGATGGCTTAGTATCAAAGTAATATAAAATAATGCATTCAATGGGCTCACCCCAATCAGCATGCCACTCCCAGTGTGGGTAACCACTTTATTAGTTCTCAGTGTAACAAGCATAGGCAACATAATGCACATTACCTTACATCACCTCCATTCACACCCCAAAGCCACCTCCTGTATGTAATGCCATGCACTTGCTCCAAAGTAGAACTAGATCCTGCACACACGTAACAATAACTATCCCATGGCCCTCATCTGTATCAATGTTTTCCAATACGTACTCATTCCAATTTTTTTTTTTTTAGGAGAGAGAGAATCTTTTTTGTAGATAGACACAACACAATGCCTTTATTTTTATGTGGTGCTGAGAATCGAACCCGGGTCCCGCCCGTGCTAGGCGAGTGCTCTACCTCTGAGCCTCAATCCCAGCCTTGGGTTTTATTTTTAATCAGTCTCCTATGAAAGGGTGTTTGGCACATTTGTCCCTTGGTTCTCTCAGGGTTGTGATGGATCACCTTGGTCACAAGTATTCATATCTGAACACTTGCAGATTAACTCACAGGAGTGGGGATGCTGACTCAGAGACAAAAGCATTTGTCATTTTGTAGGGATGGCCAAAATGTCCTCCACAGGGGAAGCAGGGTGTCACCTGCTGGTAATGGTCAGGAACACCTGTTTCCTCACAACCTCATCAACATGGAAATGGTCAAACTTTGGAATTCTCTCTACCAATATAACATGTGATCATGAAAGCCATATGTTAAAATGGCGTCAAGGGACCCACAAATTAGGCACCCATCTGGCATCACTGGTCACACCTGGGGAGAAGGAGGGAATGGCATCAGCTCTGTTGGATTCTGCCACGCGGGAACCACACCTGAAAGGACAAAAAGCTACATGAGGGTCCCGTCCTGCCAGGCCACCTGCCTGTGGGAGGAGTCCTGGAGTTCAGCACGACTTTCCTGGTTCTATCAGGCGGGTGGGTTTGGCGGAGACCGGGACCCAGCGCTATGGCCTGCTCTTACTCATGGCACGTGCACTGGGCCAGCACACTGCGGGGCTTCCTGGGACTTGCTGCAGGAGGAGAGGGTAGGTACAATTTCCCTTGCCTTCCTGAGCTACCAAGGCGACTCGAGGAAGTGTGGCATACCTCGCACTCTGACAGGTAGGGGCCTCCTTTCCCTTCCTGGGATGACGCGGGATGTCATACCCAGAGCATCAATAACAGAGAGGCTCACACCAACAGCCCAGAGAGGCAGAACTTAGCCCCGCCCCAGATCGCTCTGCTCCTGGATCGCCCCGCCCCTGGATCTCCCCGCCCCCTGATCGCCCCGCCCCCGGATCGCCCCGCCCCCGGATCGCCCCGCCCCTGGATCGCCCCGCCCCCGGATCGCCCCGCCCCTGGATCGCCCCGCCCTCCGATCGCCCCGCCCCCTGATCGCCCCGCCCCCTGATCGCCCCGCCCCTCGTTGCTCAGCCAGACCCGGCAGTTCTTTCCGCCGCCCTTTGGCCTGATTCCGCTCATCTGTCTTATAACTAATTCAAGCTGAAGTCTATTAGGCGAGGCAGTTCCTGGCCTTTCTCTGTGCTTTTCCACAAATCATCGCAGCCAGTTCTTTATGCTGCCGTCGTTCTTTGTTTTTCGTTTTCAGGAACCAGCAGCTGAAAAGCTTCTGATGACGTTCAGGGAGATGTCACATCCTTTGTCATGTTCTCAGAGAAAGACGTCAATTTGGAGCCTTATGGGACGACATAGATCACATACTAATTTTTTTTAAGAGAGCACAGTGCACTTGCCAGTATCTGCCTTTACTTCCTCACACACAAAACTCATTCTTTGTGTATGTTTCTGGATAAACACATGCCCGACTCTCCCAGCTCAAAGTTCAAGTTGCTCACACCAGCAGCCTTGGCACCGTGGTGAGGCCCAGGTGGTCTCGTTGCTCGTGCACACCACGCCGACCCATCATACCTTAAAAACCTATCCAGCTTCACCTGCTTCTTCCACTCCGGCTGCTGTCAAGACTCTGTCCTCTCTGTCTCCTGGGGTCGTCATCTCCTGGACCCCTTCCCCAGTTTGTTCTTAACAAAACAGAGTGGTCCTTTTAAGTATAATCAGATCAAGTGACTCCTGTGCCCCAAACCCTCCTCAGTCCTCCCCCTGTCACTCAGATAAAACACAGATCCTCACAGTGGCCCTCGAGGCCCCACATGGCCTCACTTCCCCACTTCTCTGGCCTCCCCCATACACTTGTCTTCTTCTTTCTTTCTTCTATGATCTCTTGCTTCTGTTCAAACAAGGTCCTGCCCCCAGGGCCTTTGCACTGGCTCCCCCCTCCACTTGAGAGCATTTCCCCCCAGATATCAGCTTGTCTCCCACTGTCTCAGCTCCATGCCACTGTCCTCTGAGGACCCCACTCACCCCCCAAGCCCACCATTCCTGGCATTTCTTTCCATTTTAGCACCTCCTGGTACACACTAGATACATTGTCTCTGTGCATTGATTGTCCCTGGCCAGAACAGGAGCTCCATGTGTCTGTCAGATACTTCAGTTTTGATCCTCTGCTTGATCTCCAGAGCCTTCCTGGCACAGAATACATAATAACTCCTTGAATGAATGAATGAGGTTCGGTTTGGAAGCCTAGCACCAGAGCACTCCTTGGCATCCCAAATGCCCAGTGAAATGCAGACCGGGGACCTCAGAGTATCCACATTTTGGGGAAAAAAAGCCCAAACTACAGTCCCACAGAAGCTTTTGATTTATCTATTTATTTATTTTAAATTTTAGCACCCCCAATCTTTAAGGTTTTTGGAGAAACCAGCTCCACGCAGCCCAGCATTAGCGTCATGACAGGTGTCCCTTTGCCCGCTCAGCAGCCCCTGGCGCTCCCAGCCCCCATGCCCTCTGGTCTGGAGTCATTTGCACTTTGGAGAAAATGAGGTGACGTGAGGAGTCGCTGTCTTTGTCAGTCGAGGCCGAGACACCAGCGATGGATGTCAGCTGCAGCCGGGTAGGGACGAGGAGCCGCTCTGCCGGAACGCTCTGCATAATTGGAAGGCGACGTTAACAGCAATGAGGACAATTAACACGTCCAACCGTCTATGAAGCAGATGCCGGAAAATAAATGGAGCTGGGTTCTAACGAGCTCGGCCTGTTACTCAGCCCTCTCCCCAGCTGGGCGGCCCTGGACAAGGCTCCTCCTGACCTTCCCCATGTGAAAAGCATGCCGTATCAAGAGGAAGCCTTGCTGCCTGAGGGGCAGGGGAGCGTCCCTCCCCCGCAGGCCCAGAGGACTCAGCCTCTGGACGCAGGCCCAAGGCCCGTCCTGCCAGCTCTGCTCACTGGATACCCACAATCTCCTGGAAGTGGCTCCTGGAGGCCCCTCAAAAGCCCTGGGGGTGGGGACCGTGGCTCTCCTACCTCCCACATGTCACCTCTGGGCAGAAGCTTAGGAGCCAGTTGCTGAATGACAGGCCCCTTGTCCTGCCCCGGCTCTCACAGGAGCTGGAGGCAGGAGCTTCCCTTGACCTGTGTCCCAGAGCAGGGCTGAGGCTCTGCTCCCCGCTGTCCCCACTGAGATGGACGTGCACCGGAGCCCACCTTCGCTGGCAAAGCCTCAGGACGCGGTGTCGTCTGGCCTTCCAGCTGCATCTTACCCTTATAGGTGTCCCTTTGCCCGCTCTGTAACATAGACAGTGCCGCAAGGAATGTCCTTCTCCTAGTCTCCTAGAGAGGGTGGGTGTGGCTCAAGGTTAATTTTTTTTTCCCAACCAAAGGTGTATCCCACAAAACTGTATTTTCTCTTTGAAGAGTAAGAAAAAACTTTCTGCTAAATAAAGTTGCATTTGAAACCTCTGAAATGCCTGAGCTTGAAAGCTAATCTAATCCATCACTCCCCTTTAATAAGAAGCTCCAGGTAATTGCCAGCATTGTCGTCCCAACCTATATTCTTGTTGAACTAGGCACAGTCACAGTTTGAGGCTGGCCTTGGGGTGGTGAGTCTCATGCTTCTTGACTTAAAAGACCCACAGGATTCGTCCTGCTGTGAAGAGAGAAATCCGGAGTCCTCTGCCTGCCCTGACAATGAGCACATACAAAACTTGGTTGCACCTAGATCTTCAGCTGTGGGAAATGGCAGAATAGTCACCCAGCAGCTGTCCCCTTGTCCCAGAACCCCAATGTCAGTTTTCATTTTCTTCCCTATACTTGGCCCAGGAAGGGGCCAGGCAAGGTCACTGACAACCAGAGAAATGCACAGGCTGCAGCCCCCCCCAATCCCTGGAGCCCCTGCTTTTCCCCCAGGATAGTTTTTCCGGGTACCCTGGGAATCCCTGGCCAGTGGACCAGGATGCTTAGCCGCTGATTTGACTGTCACAAAGGTTCATCAAGCTCCAACAGCTGATCAATTAATCACTAACAGATGTGGGCAGGTTTTCACTCCCTTTCAGGCCACAGGACATGCTATAGACAAACTGCCAAGTCGTTTTAAAGCTGTGAACGTGTGGACTGCCTCTGAGCAGAGTCTCTTCCAGCACACAGCAGGTTTGGGGCTTCATGCCTCTCTGACTCTTCGTAAAGTGAGAATGGATATGTGGGGAGCAGAAACCACGATGAGATGGCTTCCGGTTAGGACAGCAGCGAAGGAAGTGTGGACAGAAGCAGAGAAGTCATCACTGACCTTCCCAACGACCTCTGAGTAGGAAGCAAGCTCTGTAAGACACCTGCGTTGTACTAACCCTCAGCCTGGCATGGGACATGGTCAGACAGGGGTCCCTGTGTTTGCACTTAAACTGCCATCATTTCCAGGCATGGCTGGGGGTGGGGAGGCCTGGGCCATGCAGAGAGGAAGCAAATGGCTCATTTACAAGTCCCTTTCATGCTTCATTGACAAGAGGAATGAGAGAATGGCAAAAAGCTAGCGTGTGTCCAGCACTAGCCAGAAATTCACCCTCAGAAATCGATGTGACACCAACAATGATCATGACATGTTCACGTGGCTTCCCTGGCGCTAACTTCCTGACGGGGCTTCCCGACACCATCTCTGCACCCTCTGGGAACCATACACGGGTAAATAAGCCCTCACTCTCCCCGTCTTTTTGTGGGGCTCAGGCCTAAGGGTGGAGCATGTGACCTGGTCCCGTCACTCAGCTGGGGAGTCCCCCAAGCTCAGAAGTGGATCAGGACAGCAGGGGACAGGAGCTGGTCCAGGCAGGGCGAGGCCGTCCCTGGAGCAGCAGTGAGGATGGAGCCCCCCCGGGGGGGCAGGTGCTGTGGGATGTCCAGGCTCCCCACCCGTAGTCCCTGGGGCAGCGGTGGAAAGCGCCAGGCCTTGCTTTCCCATCCTCCTGGGCAGCCAGGGCACGGTGCAGCCTTGGGCCAGTCCCAGCCAGCAGAATCGGGCGGCTCCAGAACCCACTGGCTGTTGGGGAGCCTGAGTGGGAGGGGCGGGGGTCTGGAAGATCCACCCCGTCTGGTGTGAGTGACAGCGTTGCCTGACAGGCTCCTCTCCTGCCTTTAGGGACTGTTGGTGCCGCGTGTGGCAGTCATTTTTCCTAAGCAAGAAAAGAAGAAAGGAAGAACTCAGACCTCTGACATGGAGAGTTACTGACTCCTCTCAGAGCTCCTACCTCCAGGCTCCTTGTGTGGGAAAGAAAAAGAGCTTTATAATTAAGCTACTTCTCGAAAAGATTTTATTACTTATATTCAATCTCATGAAATAGAGCCACTGGGAGTCCTGCTGTGCTCCACTGAGCCCTGGAATGGCACCATCATAAAGAAGAGCAGAGCAAAAACTGTGTCCCCGGGTCCCCGTGTGGGCCCCTAAATCCAGCCACCCCAGGGCCTGCCGTCAGGGCTGGGCCGACACAGGAGTTGTGCAGCTTCTTTGGCTGATCCCGTCAGAGTCGGGTTCCTCTCAACGTTGCCTGTGTCAAAACTGAGAACTGCTGCATAACCAAGAACAGCCCGGAAGACCAGGACCACTGTGCGCCCACACTTAACAAAGGGCTGACTTAATGGGAAATAAGACAATGAAAATGCATAAATAATTTGATAGAAAATGGATAAAGGATATGAATGGAGAGTCTACAGAAGAGAAAAACAAATAACCAATAAACACGTGAAAAGATGAGAATTTGATTTTTTAATCAGACAAATGAAAATGGCTGTGAGATTCACGTATCAGGTTGGCAGGGCGAGGCCTGGAGACTGGGGGGCAGACGCTCCTGCTGGCCGGACTCCCTCCGTGGGCACGGGCATTTGACAGACAACTTGGCAATAGCCTTCAAATTAAAATAAGAGGGTTCATACCTTTTATGCAAATCAGGGTCTGGGCAGGAAAATAGAAACCATTCTAATCTGAAAAACAAATAGCAAGAATCAATTCCACGGATGATAAAAGGAGGGAGGGGGGAGATGGCAGGCCCGGAGGGAAGCCAGAATGGGGAAGCCACCCGCAGCTGCAGGGAGATGAAGAAGCAGGGCTGCTGGACCCAGGGCTGGGCCACCCGGGAGAAGGCCCTGAGAAGCCCTGTTCAAGGCAAAGCACAGAACACCCAAAACCAGTGTCCTCAGCTGGCGCAGTGGGGCACACCTGCAATCCCAGCAGCTCAGGAGGCTGAGACTGGAGAATCACAAGTTCAAAGCCAGCCTCAGCAAAACTGAGATGCTAAGCAACTCAGTGAGACCCTGTCTCTAAACAAAATACAAAGTAGGGCTCAGGATGTGCTTGAGTGCCACTGAGTTCTATCCCCAATGACCACCCGTCCCCCCAAAAAAAACAAAAATAAAAAACAGTGTCCTGGCTTTTGCATCCAGAAAGATGGAGTGGACATAGTGCTCCCTATTCTTCTTGCTAAAGACAAGGAGCCCCCTGGGAATTAGGTGTGAAACAAACATAGGACTCTGGCGGGTGGCAAGGAGACCCCACATGGTGGGGGGGGCTCGGGACAGAAGGATCGCCAAGGTGTGCCCTCATGTACTCTGGGCTGGGCTGGCAGACAGGAAGGGGCAGCGGGCCCAGCCAGGAAGAAAATCTCAAGGAAAGCTGCTTTCCTTAGCTCCAGAGCCAGGATGGGGAGTCGAGCAAGGCAGGACGCTTTCAGGACCAGACCATCACCCCAGACGACCGTAGGGGCAGCCTCCACCCTGCCACCCACCCGGCCAAGGCCAAGGGAGAAAGCTGGACTTCCATCCCCCTGAGCGGCAGCAAGGCACCCCATCGCCACCTGGTGAGGGAAGGGAGGGCCCGGCGGGGAGCCCAGACGTCCACCCCTGGCAGACATAAAGAGGCCCCTCCATGACATCAGTGGAGGCCAGGTGAGGACCCCTAGGAGACACCCCTGCATCCCAACCCACTGTGCTGCCAGTAGACCCGGGGAGCTGAACCCCCAGTGCTGCTGGGCAGTGCCAAGGAGCCCCCTTGCCCTCTGTGGGGGAAAACGGGGACCCAGGACTTTCACCCGACAGCAACTGTGAGGTGAGACTGCAATAGATCATCGAGTGGATCTTCAAGCAGGAGACGGAACCATCTTTATTCACCAGCTGGCGGGCCTAGGGGCAGGCTGCAAGTCTGCATCCTTCAACTCCCTCCAAGGTCAGAGCACACCTCTATAGTCCCAAACCACATTTTTTTTTTAAACTCACCTTTTTTCTTTTTCTTTTTTTAAGAGAGAGAGAGAGAGAATTTTTAATATTTATTTTTTAGTTATTGGTGGACACAACATCTCTGTTTGTATGTGGTGCTGAGGATCGAACCTGGGGCCGCATGCAGGCCAGGCGAGTGCGCTACCGCTTGAGCCACATCCCCAGCCCCCCAAACCACATTGATGATAAGGGGCTGTCACTAGGATTCAAACCACAAATAGACATCATGAGATCTAAACTCATAAGCAGAAGGGGGAGTGGGTCAAAACCACCCTAGCTAAGCACAAGTTAAAGAATGGCTAACATCTAGACAATCATTCTCTGACAGCGTACACTGTCCAAGAAAATGGGAACCAAAAAGAGGACAATTTTCCATTGTCTCAGAGGAACTGAAACATTTGGGTTCTAGCAGGTTGTGCTAAGCAGGATCAGGATGGCAGAGAAGCATTTCTTACATGGCATGGAGTCTGTTTGGTCACTGCCCACATGGCCTGGCCCATGACACAAGCAGACACTGTCACCCCTCCCCTGTCAGCATGAGGGAAAGGAGGTCCACTACCACCAGAGATTGGGAGAGATCCGGAGGCTCCCCGCATAAAACCCGGCATGTCGAGGATTCCACCCCAAATCGCTCATCTTACTAAGAAACTGTGTGATGTCGCTTGAAAGGGAAAAGAACCAAGGGAGAACAACCCAGAGGAGGGGATTATCCCTCAAAACACTCTCAAGCACAACTAGAGACGCCTGGAAAGGAAGACACAGGAAGTGTGAGCAAGAAATGGAAAACCTCAGCAGAGAACTAGAAAATGCCGTGAAGAGCCACCTGGGAACCTGAGACCTGACGGATCCCAGCGGCTGACTAGAAAACACCAGCTAGAGGCTCTCTGCAGAGGGCAAGGGACACACCTGCGGAGGAGTGGCCTGCTCCAAATAAGGGAGAGGAAATGGGAAATGACTGCAGGGAGCTGCAGGGCCCTGCCTCCTGCTCCCCTGGAAGCCCCCCCTCCCCCCCCCCCCCAGGTCAGCGCCGTCACCTGTCAGTCACGGGCCACCATCTGGTTAAGGGGCTGCTTGTTTATTTTAAACCTGACCTGTGGCTGCTGCTGTGAAACAATGGCCGTTCAGTTCTTAGGCCCCACGGTCCCCTCCCTCCATCAGACAGATCCAGACTCCCAGCAGCGTGCCTGACCCAGGTAGAGAGCATGCGCAGCTGAGCCAGGTGGAGGAGACTGGTGCCCCCACCTTCCTTCACTTCTCCCCCAGAAACGACTCATCTCCTACGGCTCCCTGGGTGTCCCACAAACATAGCTGTCAGTAACCATCCCTAAAGTCTCTGCCCTGCCACAAGCCACCTCTCAACAGGGCCCACGCAGGCAGGGGACGGCTGTGCTCCTAGGGCAACACTGGGGGAGGGGCCGCGCCCAGCTCTGCTTCAGACGTCCATCTGGACGTTTCCCACAGCTCCAGACCCACCCAGGGAGTCCCCGCCTCCGTGTCTGCAGTCCCGCAGTGTCCCCTTCTCCATCTGTGCCTCGTTTGGGGGACTCCCCTCCTCCACACTTCCCGAGGAAGGACACAGGGGAGACTCTGCTCCTGCAGGTCTGGAATGTCCTTACTCCGTCCTCGCCCCGACCTGTGGCCTACTGTGGTCCACATTCTACCTGGAAGGACATCTCCCAAGAGCTCCGCAGCCCTGCTCCTCCTCCCCCAGGGCCTGGGCCTCGGTGGAGTCAGCTCCTTCTCCCTGCAGGGTTCTGGGTTTTCTCCTCCTCCTGGATCTTTCTCGATTCACGAAGCCGTTCCCAGCGCTGCATCTTTTAAAGTTGATTCTTCCAGGCATGGGGGGGGGGGCGGGGGCGGGCAGAAAGCACGTCCATCTGTCAGCTCTGTCATAAACCTGAGCCGAAAAATTCCAAAACTGACGAAGGGAGGACGTCTCCATATCCACCACCCTCTCTTCCTCCCTCCCTCCTCCCTCCCTCCTCCCTCCTCCTTTTCATCTTTCTTTTTTTTCTTTTTGTAAAGTTAAAGTCACATGGCCAGATCCAGTGCCATCAACACCTGGGCAGGACAGCAAACCCCTGAGGGTCGCTGAGAGCTCCTTCCTTGTCCCTCCAAACTCCTCAGGCTCCCAGGAGAAGCCCCAGGCACGACACCCAGGCAGCCTGAGGCAGGACAGGCCTGTCTTCCCCCCCTCCGAGCCCCCCCCCAGGTCCTCCCCACCAGAGCAGCTCCGTGGATCTGGAAGCAGATCCACACACAGCCCCCTCTCCACACTGGCTTCCAGTTCCATCTTTAAGTTTTTTTGGGGGGGCACTGCAGAAATAGATAAATACAGGAGTGTGCAGACGGATGGATTCCTGCCCTGCTCCGGAGCCCCAACCCCACTGGTCTGTTCCCAGACGACCGAGATCTGAATGACCAGGATTCAGGAAGACCTTGGCTCTGCTGGGCCACCTGCAGGAGGGCATGGGTCCCTGACTTTCACAGCCATTGTGTAATTTCTTGCACTGTGTTGATCGTCTACCTTTATCAGTCCCTTGCTAAGCACTGAGCCCATAAGAACTAAGCTGTATGTTTTCAACTTATGGCTCATTTTTCTCCCCTTGCATTCCAGAGAATAGGTTATTATCTCTCAATACAGGTCTGGAGCTTATTAAAACTCCAGATTCTCAATCCCCACCCCCAATCCATTGAAGTTGGGCCGAGGGAATCAAACATCTTTTTAGCTCTTAAGGAGATTCATAAATACATCTACCTGCAAAACAACTTTGAGGTAGATGAGAAACAGACCTTCCAGGCAAAACATAAGACTAGTTCTTCTCTTTAGGAATTTAACCTGTTTACATGTAATGTAAATATCCCCATGATTTAACCTTACCTTCTTACCGTTGCTTTTATATGTCCATCACTTTTTAATCTCCTTTATTGACTTACTTGTATTGATCAATCATTTTTAAAAAATCATCTGATGTTGTAATCTTCCTTTAGGTTGTCAGTTTCAATTCTATTATTCTTTATTAATATCCTACAGATGATAACATGAATCTATGACTTATTAGACTACCTAAATTACAACTTCCAAAGTTGATAACAGAAGAATTTACTCCTTAAAAGCATTTAACCTCCTTCCTGCCAAATAATTTAATTCTCTGTATGTTACTAACCTACAAAGCCAATTATCACACTTTTATGCACTCATATTTAATTCATTTCCCCATGTATCAACCCTTTGTGTTGCTCATCGTTCTTCCTGAATTTTTCCATTTAGAATCATTTTCCCTTCTTCCTGGAAAACTTAGTGTTTAATGTCAGGCAGATCAACTGGCCATGAATTATCTGGTTTTGCGTACATGAAAGCATTTATGTCCTACTCACTCCCAAAGGATGTTTTTAACAGGAGGTAATTTTAGATTGACAGCTGTTTTCTCTCAGGACAAATATGTTATTTTGTTATTCTCTTGTTCCATTGTGGCTCTTGAAAAATTATCCATCTTTTTAATAATCAATAGATTCTCCCTTAAAGGTAATGTCTTCCATTCTCAGCAGATTTTCCAAATGTGACCAGAGGTCATTGCTTTCTGTTTATCTCACCAGGGGCTCCACATTCTGGTTCTCTGAGACCCATCATGAACTTTGTGGAGAGTCCTCTGTCACACGGTACCTCTGACTTGTTCTCCTTTCCCTCTTTTTAGGATTTGTGCACTACCTCAGTCCTCTGTGTTTCATGCTCTTTGGGGCATATGCATCCCTCTGGGTCTCGTGGTTCTGGGTGATACTTTCCACAGACCTGTCTTCTGCTTCGTCTGATCTGGGGTTACCCTTATCTACTGCATTTTCAGTTACTGTTGAGCTATTCACGTGACTTTTCACATAGACCACTTCTCAAATAAAATCCCCCATCATTTCACACTCTTATTGAACATGTTAATAACAGATGATTTAAAGTTATCTTTGATAACCTCATTAACCAACATTTGTGAGTTTTTTCTTCTTCTTATCGTATTTTGTTTCTCCCCCCCCCACCCCCCACCTCCATCTCTTGGTAATTTGGTCTTCTTTCTGACATGCCTTATAATATTTTTTGAATGCTGTTTTTTTTTTAAATATGTGTCTCCGGATGATATTAACTTTTCATAGGGAAAAAAATATTCTTTTGGATTCCTGATGTCCCATACTGAGGACAGATTACTGTGATCCAGGTATTTCAAGGGTGAGCTTCCGTCTTTCTGAGATCTGGTTTATTTGGGTTTATTGTTCTTCCTTAGATCAAGTCGAGAGACTCAACAGAAACCACTGTGTATTCTCCAATTCCTGCCCTCAGGGCACTTTCTGTTCAGCTTCAGAGACTGACCCTGCAGTTTAGGAATGAGCCAGTGCCCCAAAGGGGGTCCTGCAGAAACCCAGACTTATTTTAAGGACTTCCATTGTCCCTGTAATCTCTACCCCCAAACCCTGGCTTCCGTGGTGGTCCTGAGCTTGAGGTTTGAACGTCTCCAGATCCATGCTCTTGCTGAAAGATTCTCAGTTCCTGTGACCCTTGGCCCTTTCTACTTACAAGTGGCTTGCTCCTCAAAGGGGGGAACCTCGGGGCGTCTCCTGTTCCCTGGGGCCATGGTCCCCCAAGTCCTGGCAGCCTAAGTTGAACTCTAAGGCCTTCACATCGGTTTGATTTTCCTCCCAGCATACTGATAGCTATTCCGATGTTGTTTTATAGAAAATAAGGCTCTCGGTGAAAGCCACCATCTCTCGGAGCCGACATTCCCTAAATTACTTGAGCCTCGTGGAAGTATGAAGCAGCAGTCCCCAGAGATGAGCAAGCCCAAACAGAGCACCTACGCAGAGTGTCCCCATTTTAATGTGAAGTTCTATTTGTGCTGAAAAACAGAAGCATAAAATGTTGACACCTAATTACTGTCAAAACACTGCTTCAAAAATATTCAACAATATTTTTAAAATTGAGGAATTGTGGTTTAGATGAGTCAGGCCAGCGGCTGGGTTCACATCCCGCCCTTGCTCCCACCTCATGGGCGCCCCTCATAAATTATTTAACCCTTCGAGGTCAGAGTTCCCATCTGTAAAGTGGGATGGTAAGGGGACCTTGCTCATGGGATGCGTAGGAGACTGGACCAGCTGACATACAGACTCTGAAGACACTGACACGCTGAATCTAAGAAAGTGGTCGTAAAAAAAAACAAACAAAAAATATGTTTTTATGTATCAGTTAAAATAATTCTAATTTTAAAAAAGCCCGTGAACCAGCTTGCAGACAGAGTCCCCCAAGCTGAGCCCACAGCCTCCTGTACAGCACCCGTCAGGCCCAACCTCCCTGCGCTCCAGATGGGGCAGGAGTGAGGTTCAGAGGCGGGAGGGGCCTGGCCAGGCGCAGGCACAGTTGTTGATGTAAAACGAGGTCAAGGACTGGAATAATTTTCTTTAGATGATTTAGTCAATTAAATCCTGTGCCCTGTAAGCCAAGCAGCTCAGTTCCGCTGAAGGCAGAGGGGTCGCATCTCCCTCAAACCAGATCATTCTCTGGCTGGGTGCCAGCCCGGCTCTGCGGCCACCATGAGCGCAGCCCCTGCTCTGGCTGTGAGAGGAGAGGGAGCCGCTCTCCTGGCTCCTCTGAATGTTTAATAGTGCCCCGATCTTCAGATGGCTGGTAATCAGACCCAAATTAGCCTGATACGCAAAGCCAGACGACAAGGGGGGGATGGGGTTTCTTTAATGAAAATTTCATCAGTGCAGATTTCTCATTGAATCTGAAGGTCTTGGCCTGAAGGCAGCTTCCCAGCAGAGCCGCTGTGACATTGACCTTTATCCCTCAGAGACAAGAGCCAAGGCAGGTGGCTTCACTCACTAGGTGGCACAGGGGATGGTCCCTGCAGGGGAAATGAAGGGAGAGGCTGAGCCTGGGGAGCCGGCTGGGGCCTGTCCTTCTGAAGGCTTCCTGCTCCAGGTCTGGGCTCACACAGCTCCTCCCTCCCCCACCGCTCCTCCTGGACCCCCACCCCACTGGAGGACACCTGGGTCCCCCGACTGCTCACAGCAAACCCCGGGTCCTCCTGCTTGGCGCTCCTCACACCACCTGCCTTAGTCAGTTGCTGCTGCTGTGAGAGAAGGCCATGGACTGAGTCATTTGTAATGAACGAAAGGTTGTTTGGCCCACGGTTCTGGATGCCAGGAGGATCGAGGGGCCACGTTCTGGGGAGGGCTTTCCTGCTACATGGTGGCCTGACGTGGTGGGGGCACAGCATGGCGTGAGAGGGAAGGGCCTGAACTTGCCCTTCCTAGGAGCCCCCTGGGATGACCACTCGATCCTGCAAGGGCCACTAACCCATCTGACCACCTCTTAAAGGTCCCACCTCGACACTGGCACTGGGAAGGCAGGTGTCTGCAGAGCTGGAGATCAAGGGGCCTCAACAAACCAGGGACCAGGGACTACATGACACCAGAGCTAGAAAGAGGCCAGACCCGAGGACCTCAGAAGGGAGCAGGTGACAACATCTGACCCACCTGGTCACAGACACATCCTGCCATCGGCCCCAAGGGGAGGGATGCTCGGGATCTGAGCCACCATGGTGGTAAGGGCCACAGCCACCTAGGAGTGAACAGGAGGCCATCAGAGGCCACGTGGTCACATTTCCATTAAATGCCAGGAAAGTCAGGATTCTAGAAACTTCGTCAAGGGCGTGGCTTCCTCCAGCTGCTGTTCCCAGAAGACTCTGGGGCCTTCGTCAGTCACAGCTCGACTGTCACCTTGGAGTGCAGCTGGGAGAGAG